GAGGAGGATGGAAAGAAATTATAAACTATAGAATGATAGGGAACAGAACTAAATAAAGTTCATTTTCCTCAATATATTGTTTCTACCCCTCACGACCAGAATTGTTTCTTTTGTCACTTTTCATACTCTGGAATTTTATTATGGAAATGTCCCTTTGAGACCACAAAATACTCTTAAAATTACATATATCTTTGGGAAGGTTGATAGTCTTCCACAGATAAGTGTGATTTAGTTTAATCAAGTTATTTTATTTAGTTCTAACTTGTAGTATACTAAAGGAATGCTGATTTTTAACACTAGAAAGCAACAGCCAATCTGGGTGAGATAGGGGTATGCAGTAAAGACACCTAGGAGACGTTTGGGGAGAATAGTGGGGGAAAAGGCACAAAAGGAGCTAAAGATTATTTTTACCTATTTTAAGACCAACCAAGACTGGTGCTGTACTCACGAACAGAGGAAGAGAAATGTCCTCCTTTTTGACCCTTTTGTACAGACTGGGCCCACCTCTGGTACCATTAAAACCCACAAATATTAAATAGGCTTCTCTGAGCTGGTTTAGTGACACAGCTCTTGTGGGAAAATGAATGGTATGCCAACCAACTTAAAGGAAAGAGCCTTTCAAGTCTAAAAACAATGTATCATTTTTGGTTGATTGAACCATATGAAATTGCCAATATTCAAGTAACTGTGACCAAAAAAATGGCAGTTTCATATGGATCAACCTAAAAGCTGATAAACTGAGACTTACCTGAAGTCACATGGTTGGAATGAAGAATTTAGAACGCTGTCAGTTATGCTGTATAGAAGGATTTTTTTTTTTTTTAATGCAGATTTTGCTAGACTTGAAGACATACTGTGACTGATGATGCTATACCATAGTGATGCTCTTAAAGACAGTGATTTATAGGGCTCCCCTGGTGGCGCAGTGGTTGAGAGTCTGCCTGCCGATGCAGGGGACGCGGGTTTGTGCCCCAGTCCGGGAAGATCCCACATGCCGCGGAGCGGCTAGGCGTGTGAGCCATGGCCGCTGGGCCTGCGCGTCCGGAGCCTGTGCTCCGCCGCGGGAGAGGCCACAGCGGTGAGAGGCCCGCGTACTGCAAAAAACAAACAAAACAAAAAGGCAGTGATTTATAATGCACAATTCCCTAGATCAAGCTCTCTTTGTCCATGCCACTTCATTCCAACTGTTATTTAGACAGTACCTCCTTCTACAGCCCTGGGCAACCTAGGATATCTAAATCTGTGGGTGTTTTAGGTTGAGGTTGACAGTGGGCGTTATGGGTTTCAGGAGAACTCTAGGTGAACTCAATTTTTTCTTGTACCACTCAATGCTCAGAAGGAGGGTTTCACCACGTGATCTGGTGTCCTTATGACCATGAGTTGACATGTGCCATAAGAGAAAACTGCTCTCATGGTTTCCTTTTCTATTCCAAAATATAATAGTCATTTAAAAGTCTGTAATTTGGTATCTAGATGAGCTATATAAGGTATTTTTCAATTCTATAGTTTTATGATCAGACTTTAAGGAAAAAAGCCAACTATGCTTGTTCTCATGCTCATCGGGTATTTATGTAATTATATGCAAGAAACTGATAACAATAGTAGTTCTTGGGGAGAGAAACTTGCTTTTTTCTCTTTACTGGGCTTTTTTTGCATTGAGCTTCTTTTTAATATCATGTATTATTTACTACTACTACTAAAAATATTTAAAAAACAAATACAATTAATTTAAAATTTAAGTAGACAAAGCATTTTACTTTAAAAGTACAGAGTCCCTCCCTTTACAAATGTTTACATCCTGTTCTTCTTGCTCTTCTGTACAACCTTATCACTGTTGTGATTATTTTTTCACAGGGCCTCTCCCTGTTGTGGCCTCTCCCATTGCGGAGCACAGGCTCCGGACGCGCAGGCTCAGTGGCCATGGCTCACGGGGCCCAACCACTCCGCGGCATGTGGGATCTTCCCGGACCGGGGCACGAACCCGTGTCCCCTGCATCGGCAGGTGGACTCTCAACCACTGCGCCACCAGGGAAGCCCCACTGTTGTGATTTTTAAAAGTAATTCTTAGGAACTGTGGGAGGTGGAACAGAGATACCGAAGATTTTGATGATGGAAATTGCTATTTATGCTGCAAATATTTGTAATTACCTATTATGTGATAGGTCCTCAGCTAGGTACTTCCTCCTTTCCATAACTTCTGGAAAGCTTATGTAAACACCAAGTATTTTTTTTTTCTTGGAGAGTTCTGCATGCTTAAAATGCTTCCCATAGATAAGCAGTGGTCTGTTCTTCATGAATGCAGCAACCAATGAGCTCACCTGCAGGGAGTATCCCCCAGGGCACTGAGGGAAGTCCCAGGTGTCTGGCTGAGGCAGGACTACACCATGACCTGTAGGTGAGCTAGAGGGTAGTCATGGAGCAGGGTGGGGTGGGGGATCTGCAATACTGAGAAAATAAAAGGTAAAAAGGAAGATTTAAAAAAGAAAGGTGGTAGAAGGGAGGTGACAATAGAAACTAGTACAGGGACTTTTTTTCCCTCCAGTTTTACTGAGATAGGATTGACATATAGCACTGTGTATGTTTAAGGTATACAGCATAATGATTTGACTTAATCATGAAAGGATTATCACAGTAAATTCAGTGAACATCCATCATCTCATATGGGTACAGAATTCTTTGTGATAAGAACTCTTAGGATTTGCTCTCTTAACAACTTTCATATATAACGTGTAGCAGTATTAATTATATTTATCATGTTTTACATTACATACCTAGTACTTATTTGTCTTATAACTGAGAGTTTGTACCTCTTGGATACCTTCATCCAATTCCCCTTCCCCCCACCCCTGGCCTCTGGTAATCACAAATCTGATCTCTTTTTCTATGAGTTTGTTTCTGAAGTATAATTGATCTATAACACTATGTTGGTTCCTGTTACACAACATAGTGATTTGCTATTTCTATACATTTCAAAATGATCACCATGATAAGTCTGGTTACCATCTGTCACCATCCTAAGATATTACATAGTTATTGACTATATTCCCCACACTGTACATTTCATACCTGTGACTCATTTATTTTGCAACTAGAAGTTTGTACCTCTTAATCTCCCTCACCTATTTCTTTCTATACAGGGACATTTTAATTCACAAAATCGTTAAATTACCCAAAAGCTGATTCTGAAGACTTGTAACAGAATCCTAAACACAGAGAGAGAGAGCTTGCTAAATCAAAGATGCTTACTACTTAAGACAATTTTTGTAAAGCTATAGAGCTTCCTTGTTTAAATTCAGATTTCATACAGATGATGTGTAGATAAGAACAATGCCTTATATTTGCTTAAATTCTCAGTTTTCAAAGCCCTTAGACATACATTGCTGCTCTAAATCCTCTCAAAAAACGCTATGAGAACTGTTTTCCATTTCACAGATGACGAAAGTGCAGCTTAGAAGTGGAGCCATTTGCCCATGGAAACCTGGTAGAAAATGGCTGAGGCTTAGATGCAGCAGCCCTACCTGTTGGCGTTAAGCTAGCCCTACCACAAGAAATAAGCAGAGACACATGAATTTATTAGGGAAATCCCTCTGACTTTCAAAAAACCACAACCATGAATATGCCCTAGGTATCCCCATTTCTCCCATTCTCCCTCTCCAAACCACCTTCTTGGGTCTGCAGTCCAGCCCATCTTCCTAAAGTTCAGTTCTGATTGTCACTTTCTTCCCCCCGCATCTGCTAGCTCCCCACAGCCTACAAAATGAAGTTCAGGTTCTACAAAATGGCACCCAAGTCCTCTGCCTCAGCCCCCATCCACTACTCCAGCTCTCTTTCCCATGTCAGTATGGTGTTTCTTGCCCCTTATATTTTTAATCAAGCAGACCGGGGTACCACCATCTGACACCCCAGCAGGGCCTGGGCTAGGATGAGGCGGGCTACACAGTTTAACGGGACATCAAAGAACCCAATCATCAAGATAAATGTTTTAATGCAATATTTTTAAAATTAATACAAAAAATGAAAAATATCAAAATTTAAAATAAAGACAGGGTCATATTACTGGTTTTCCCTTTTTTCCTTTTTCAGACTCCAAAAATGCCTCAGCAGAGTTCTGTTATGGATCCTACGGTGACTTTCCACTTGGGTACTTTTATTAAAGATGTTTCCCAAGAGCCAGTTCTCACACCCCTTTCCACATTAGTATCAGTATCTTACTTCTCTTCTTGAATGCCTCAGCATTTATCTGTAACCCTCTTCTGTCTGGAAAACCTACTTCCCTTAGTAACTGGTCGTACTTTGATGGCAATCTGAATCATCTCGGATACTCGCCAGCGCCTTCCCAAAGCACAGTGGGCACTCAGCTGCTCTTTGGTAAAAGAACGCAGAAATCACAGTCCTCACACTGGCTGGCTGTGGGGTTGGGCAGAGAAGGAACTCAAATATATTTTGTTTGGTCCAGAGTGCTTTTTAAAATCTGAATTAGTTATCAAGATTGAAAAACCAGGATATTTTACATTAAAAAAATCGAAATCTCTGTCATTTCTTGAAAAAAAAATCATAAACTCTAGCCAAAGCAGGCCCCGATTCTTCCAGGACACCAACGGGAGTTTGCAGCCCAGTGGCTCTGCCTTCAGAGCTCTCTCCAGTTCGCCGCCTGCTACCCGTTTCACTCACTCACATTGCCGGCCAGGCCCTATTCGCTCTTTTTTGGCGACCCTAGGCTTGAAGCAACGAGTGCACTGGATAAAACCAATCTGCTGGGTCCACTTGTTCTCTCGGGGAGAATAATGTTTCCTTGTTGTCCTTTCTAGGCTTGCAGAGACTCACAGAAGCAGCTCGCCTTTCTCACCCACAAACTTCCCACGACCCGTGAAACTTGCAAGGCCCTCCTCCTTCACTGTTTCTCCCCCGCCCTTTGCTCCAGGGTCCCCTCCCCGGCACCGGCCCTTCCCTCCCTCCCTCCCCCACCCAAGGCGCTCCGGAGCTCGGGGCGGGTCCCCGGCCCCCAGCTCGGCCATCTGCCCCGGCCCAGGGCGCTGGGGCTCGCCCACGGCGGCACTGGGCATGCTCAGAGGCGGCCGCACGGGCAGCTTCGCTTCGCAGGCGCTAGCACTCGGCGGCGGGCGGGCGCGCGGCTGCAGCTGGAGCTCCAGCGCCCGGAGTTGGAGTTGCCGGGAGTTTCCCCCTCTCCCCCTTGCGCGCGGCAGCTGGAGCCGGCGCTGCAGCCGCGAGCGGCGGCTACCCAGCGCCCGGGCCGGCCGAGCCTTGTCCGGAGCCCGGAGCCCCGCGCGGGGCAGCTCCTGGGGAGGAGCCTTGCGGGCTGGGACGCGTGCAGCGCACTGGCACTGCCGGGGCACGAACCGGGCTGCAAGGTAGGGCCGGGGCGTGGGGAACCAGGCGAGTGAGGCAGAGGCCAGGCCGGGGGTTGCGGAGGGTGGAGGATGCGGCTGCAGAAGCTGCGGCGTTTGGGGTGCCCAGCGCTGGGTCTGAGGCGCGTGGCCGGGTCGGGGACGCCGCTGCGGGGCAGAGGGAGTAGGCAGGCGCCCAGGGAGATGCTTTCAAGTTGGCGGGCGACGGGAGAGGGGGCCGCGCGCTCGGGCGCAGCTGCTTTGTGCGCGCCGAGAGGGACTCGGGTCCCTGGTTCTCCCCAAACCTGGGACCCGATGTGCGGGCAGGGCTGGGCAAGCCGCAGAGCCGAGCAGTTTCATCCGAGAAAGTTGAGGATGGAGCCCTTCTTTCCTCACTGTGTCCGCGGTAGGATAGCCCCGCGGGTGCCGCCCCGAGGCCCCCAGTGTGGAGGAGCTGCGCCCCTGGGCTAAGTTCCTCCGCCCCCGGCTGAAATCCACGAATCACCCAGATCTTCGCTTCCCTGGCTAGCTTCTAGGAAAATCATTCCTGCCAAATCTGAGGTAGGCTGTCCGGGCGGGAATGGCTCCCTGCCTCCGGGACGCTTAGCTGGGCGACGCCCCCTTCTCAACCTCAGACGTGGCCAAGGGCGCCCGGTTCCGAGTTAGTGCTTACGGTGCGCACTGGAATGGAGCCTCACACACATGGCGGGGAACGTGGGGTAGGTGGATGGCCTGATTTTTCCTCTAGTCTTTTCTCAGCTTTACAACACCCCACCAACCCCACCCGGCTCATCTTCGCAGAGGACAGGACCTGGAGGGGAAGGTCAGGGGGAGAGTTTGGGTTGACATACTGTTCCTTAGGAGAGGATACCTGGGCTGTATCTGGCTTGGGCTCCAGCCCCAGGACTTCATAACGAGCCCTCTCCCTTTACGGTTATTCTTCCTCAGGGACCGGGTGGGAAGGAGTAGGGGCGGTGGGTCCACAAGAATGTCCACTTCGTCCCACTATCTCCTAAGAGTGCGTTCCAGGGGTCCCCAGGACCCTGGAACTGGCGTTACGTGGATTACGAGAATGTGGAGGATGCTGACCATTCTCCTAGCTCCACTTTTTTCACTTCTTGTTTTGAGTTTTAGGGGTTTTGCCTGCACACGAGTCAGAGCTGCTCTGTCATAACCGGGAGGTGGAGGAGCTTCAGCCTGGCAGTGAGCCGCTGTTCACCTCCGAGGCTGCTAGTGGGAATTGGTCCAGAAATGATTATGCAGGCTAGAAATATGCCTCTTTCCCCCCCCCCCCCCGTCTTTTGGCTGAACACTTTGGCTGTTGGGTTTGTGTGTTAAGATCTTAAAGGAGAACCCACACACTGCTCAAGTACTATGTTTTAGGGAATCACCATTTCTGCTACATGTTCTTCTCTTTGCTTTTTTCCTGAGGGTGGGGGTGGGAATCTGCTTTGGGGCAGATTTCCAAATGTGGAAATCACCTGGTGTTGGTACACAGGTTCTAGAGTGAGATAGACCTGAGGTCAAGATTTGGGTTTACAGTCGGATTACTATGCTAACTGACAAATTGTTGGACACTATGAACTTCAGTTTTCTCTTCTGTCAAATGGGGATAATAGTGGCCTTATCTCCTTTCATTGCAGGGTTGTTGTGAGACTTGGGGGAGATAATGGGCATCAGAAGTGCTAAGAAAACTTTAAAGCACCAATTGTGTTTTCCTGTGGCTGTGCTCTTTACTCAGTTTTTTGTTTTTTTTGAATTAACTACTTCTTTTAATTGTAACAAGCTGCCTGAATCTTCTCTCCTCCACCCGCTCCTCACCAAAAGGTTTGGTTTCTCAGGGCTTTGGAAGTCGCTCTTTATCTTCTTTTTTCTCTTCCCTTAAATTCATCTCTCTTTTGATTTTAAGGGTTGAGGCTCCAGTCCTTGTATTTATCTGAAGGAGGCAGCGAGGTGTAGTTTAGGAGATGGGAGCGTGGTGGGGTACCTCATCAATGTTCAGAATCCTGGGCCCCAGAACTGGCATGTTAACAAGGCCCCAGTTTGAGATCCAAGGTTGATGAAGGAGTCAGCAGACCTGGGGCTGGAGCTCTGGCATGGTCTCTAACAGTGACCTTGAACTAGGGACTCAACCCCTCATCAGTGGAATCAGACTGTGAGCTTGAGGGCCAATGCTGATCAGAGGCAAGAACAGGTGAGATGTCTTTCACTCAGTTAATAAGGGATTAATCAGGCTCCTGACCCCTCCTCCCCCCCAGGTGCTGCACCTTCCCTAATCCTAGGGTAGTGGTTCTCAAACTGGAGCATCAGAGTCCCCTGGAGGGCTTGTTAAATCGCAGCTAGCTGGGCTGCATTGCCAGAGCCTCTGATTCTCTGCGACTAGCGTGAGGGGAAGGGGGTCCAAGAATTTGCATCTCTAACTAGTTCCAGGTGATGACAGTGCTGCTGGTCCAGCGACCATGCCTATAGAATCATTGACTTAGGGGGTGAGAGAGAGTAAGAGAAGGTGTTTGTTCAGAAACACCATTATTTTAATACGTCATGTATGGAGGCAGGGTTTCTTCAGGCCGTTTTAGGAACTTGCCTGAGGCATTTTCTATTTCTGATACCTGTGCCACTTCTCATTGTCCAGTGTAGATAATTCTGATTGCTTTTCAAATGAATGAATTTTACACAAAAGAAGTTCCCCCTTCTTTTCATACTGTAAAATACTTAACCTCTGGTTTCCAGGACACTCTTGGATAGGCTGAGATTGGTGACCTTGATATTGATAAATCCAGCAACTACCCTATTTCCTTTCTTTGGGGACCTCAGACGTTTGTGGAGAGGAGGTTTCGAGAAGTTCTGGCAGCTTAAACCTTAAGATTGGAGAACGGGGCTTCCCTGGTGGCGCAGTGGTTGAGAGTCCGCCTGCCGATGCAGGGGACACGGGTTCGTGCCCTGGTCCGGGAAGATCCCACATGCCGCGGAGCGGCTGGGCCCGTGAGCCATGGCTGCTGAGCCTGCGTGTCTGGAGCCTGTGCTCCGCAATGGGAGAGGCCACAACAGTGAGAGGCCCACGTACCGCAAAATAAAACAAAAAAAGATTGGAGAACAGGTGAATCACTTATGAGCAAGATTAAAAAGAATTTGCAATGTGGTGTCTTCTCTGAAGGGACAGCTTACGTAGGCCTTGGGGGAGGTGACAGATGTCCTGTGGTGGTCAGATCTGGTGAAGGCCTTCCATTCCTTCTAGAGGATGGTAGTGTTGGCTGTAACTGAGGGAGACCCTCCATCACTGTCTGAGGGCTGGGAAGCCCAACTTTTTGGAGCAGCTGTGCAGTATCAGTGCTGCTCTGTGTAGCTGAGTTTATAATCGAGCACTGTTTGGGCACAACCCAACCTTAATCTCTTCCTTGCCCCCTAAGCTATGGTCCGGGGCTGACAGTTCACCATGACTTAAGGTGGCCTAGGTTGTGGCCTTGAATTTTAGCTGCTTTGTATCAGAGAGGCTTCGGGCACCTGCTGGAGTCAGGAAGATTCCCGAGATGATATTCGAGGGCAGAAATAAGGTTTACGTAGCACCCAAGTGGACTGTGTGTCCAAGGGGCTCTTGTGTTGCTGTACCAAATGGAGTCCAGCTGACTGTCAGGCTTTATCTCAGCTTTCCATTTGTGCTCTGTTTTCGTTTTCAAGTGATTAGCACTAGAGAAACCTATCAGTAAATCAGAAACCTATTCAAAAACTCAAGTGTACCACTTAGTGTTCTAGCAGATAAATCTGCAAGGCCCATGCCTGTCTTCCTGACCGTAATCAGCCCTCAGTAGACACAGCCTTCAGCTTGAAATTCTTTAGATGCAGTAATCACTGATACAAATGGTTTCTCCTACTTAACACGGGTACAGAAAATTCCTATTTTAAAATTCTTTTCCATAACTTGATATTTATATTTTGGGTGTTACCCCTGCTTTTTGCTGGGAGGATTTCTTTTCCAGGGTGGGGAAGCTTCTTTCCTTATCACTGTTATTCACTTTTTTCAGCACATGACCACTTGATATCTTGGCTCCCTTGGCTAAGTTTGTTGTGAGACAGTCATTTTGATAACTTTATTTCTCTTGGATCATCAGGGCTGTTACTGGGTCCTAGAGAGTCATGGTCAGTTCCTGGAAGGCTCTTTCCCTCAACTGTCCTAGAGGATTCTTTTAAAATAACACTCAGTTTATACTGCACTAGCTTATTTCTAAGATCCATTTTTTTTTTCTTTTCACAATTCATCATTTTCCAATTTCAAAAATCTAGATGGGTCTGAAAAATTATGAACACATTTAATGTATGGTTTCTTTCTTCTCTTCCTGTAACCTGTTATGTTAATAGTGACTTCCAATGAATGGCATCCTAAAACAAAGCAAGTTTGGTTCCTGACCTGGGTAGAAAATGTGGTTCCTGCTGTCCAGCTGATAGAATTGAGCAGCCATCCAATTAGCTCAGCAGTTCCCAGAGTACTGGGAAAAGACTGTTCGGTGGACGTTAATAGGTGTGCTCTTGTAAAGGTCAAATCAATCTGGAAGCGCTGCCTGTTATTTTCCCCTGTCTCAGAGATTCTCACTGTGTTCACCATTATATCAAAGACTCTGAGAAGGACTGCAGTTAACCATATCAACAACAAGAAACTTAGTTCTGTTTATTTAACCAGACATTTCCCAGAGCATTTTGAGGTTATGTGTGTAGCTTCTAGGACTGCTTTACTGAATCAGCACATCCCAGCAGTTCTAATACATTATTTAACACCATCTATGGGTAGGGTGGTTTCACCTGGTCTATCTCTAAAATATAGGGGCATTCATAAACTATGGATATTAATTAATGCATGGACTGTACAGGTGGTTACTGTTTATTTCAGAGTAGAGAGAAGCCATTTGAAGCTGTGCTGGCTGAGGAAGCCTATATGGATGGACTAGACTGTGAAAACTCTGGCAACGATGCGTAGCACTTCTGTAGAGAGGAGAAAGGGTGTTTTAGGTTGCTGGTGTTAGGGAGCAGAAGTG